CGCTGTTCGCGGGGGGGGGGGGGGGGGGCAGAGGGCACCTCCCTGAAATTACTTTTTTCAGGTTGGGATCCCTGAGTGGGGCTACCCCTCACACTGTAAGGGTTAACTGCTAATTTTTGTCTAGAGATATTGTGTAAAGGACTTTTACTGACCTGATCCTTGCTCCACAGGCTCCAAGACCGGCGTCCACCTGCAGACTCTTTTCCTCTCCACTTCAGCGGTCGGAGGCCCACTGATGCCATCAAGTACAATACAGGGCCCATAGCCCTTTATTATATGTTAGGATGCCGAGGGGCAGTCCACAAGCCAGAGCGGAGGGGAGAGAGGTGAGCACCGACCACTAGGGAAGCGGGGATCAGGTAACTAAATGTCCTAGACAAGAACGAGCAGTTAACCCTAAAAGTTGTAGTGTTAAAATAAGCCAGCGAGCACAGGAGATATATTTTTTATATATCTGCGGCTCCGGCTGATTTGAACACTACTGCAGTTACTGTTTGTGAATCACCCCCTCTGCAGCACTCACAAAGTCTGATAGAAGTGACATTTCAGACCGATCAGCTGTTCCAGGCAAATGATTGGTTCTCCTGCACATGCGCAGTCAGTCGATATGTCCTGGAACAGCTGACAAAGTGCTGGAGTGCTTGACCTAATGGGCGGTCACACATTCCACCGCCGCGGAACTGGGCAGGATTACATTGGAATGTGTGACCACATCACCGGTCACACATTCCAACTTAGTCAAAAACTTTGATAGAATACCGGCCCCTTTGACTAGTTGATCAAATGACGCTGGCCGAAAGGGTGGAGACAGCGCCTCCCACTGTGCAAATTTCGGCTGGTTCCTGAAGAACCGGCTGAAAATCACATAATGCATGGCCAGCTTATGGCTACATTCACACTGGGTGCAATTCGATGCTTTTAAAATGGTTTTCTAAAGGCACTGCATCAAATGATTTCCAATAGATCTATTCACACTTTGCGTTTAGATGCTTTTATCTGCAGTCAGTTTAGTTGTGTTTAGAAAAAAACAAAAGTCAGTTGTGTCTAGGAATCAAACTTAACATATAAACGCACCAAAACGCATGTAAACACATTTTGATGCTAGGATTTGGTACCAGATGCAGACATCCCAACTCTCCTGGACGCCCCGGGAGTCTTCCGCTATTAGATAGCGGCTCCCGGCCGCCCCAGAGAGAAACATTTTCTCCCGGAAAGGTTTACTCTGCTATATCTAGCAAAGTAAACCTTTCCCTGCAATCTGTTTTATTTATTTTTTTCTGACATTGGGGCCGCCGTCAGAGAAAAAAAAAAAAAACAGCATATGAATGCATAGCTAGATTGCTATTGGCTATTTCACTTTGCAATAGCCAATAGCAGACTAGCTATTGCACAGTGGTGGACATAGGGAACAAAGGGCCCTGGTGCAAGATTATTTTTGGGCCTCCCCCCATAAAAACCCCACAAACCTCCCTAACCCATATCCCCTTTAGCAACCACAAAAAAAGTTGGAAAAATGGCATTGCTGTATAAAGTACTGCTGAGATTTGTAGTCCTCTATAGAGGGTGCCATTCTGGATTGCTGCGATGCAGAATGGGACCTGCTATATAGAACTACAAATACCAGCTGTACTTTATACAGCAATGCCATCAATTGGGCTACAAAAAATAATGATTTTATTTATTAACTTACCTTCACCTCCTCTGGCTGTTTCCTGGTGGGGGAGGCTGCAGAAAACCACCCCTGTGTGTGTGTCCATCTCAGCGCGCCTGTGTACTCAGACGGCTGTTTGCTGGGTCCTCACGGCTGAGGCCCAGGGCTGCTCCCTGCAGTGCCTGCAGGCTTTTTTTTATTCTCGGCCCCCTCCACAGTTTTCGGCGGCCGACGGGACCCCTCGTCTCTGCGCTGGGAGTGCCGGAAAAACCAGATACTCCTGGCGCCTGAGTACACGGGCGCACTGAGATGGACACACACACAAGGGAGGTGCTGAGATGGACACACACACAGGGGGCCCGTCAACCAATGTGATCAATGGACACTCCCGGCGCAGAGATGGGGGGCCCACCGCATACCGATCCAATGGTAAACGGCGGACGGACACCAAAGGGCCCCCCCATCTGTGCCCCAGGGCTGTGTTTGAATGGATACTGGGCCCCCCGTAGGCTCAGGCCCCTGTGGCGGTAGTTCCGCCACTGCTTTTGCACCCGCCCACTGCTGCTGTCAATCAGCAGGGGGGGACCTGAAGTTCTCCATCAGATCCTCTTCTAGTGACTGACAGCAGCAGAGGGCGGGTGAAATAGCCAGCTTGCTATTGGATATTGCAAATTGAAATAGCCAATAACAATCTAGCTATTCATTCCTATGCTGTTTTTTTTATTTATTGTTCTGACGGCAGCAGCTGTCAGAATACTAAAAACACCCAAAAGAAAACAGCAGATAGCAAAGAAGCTATAGCTTCCTGTGCTATCTGCCATCATTTCAGGGGGGTGCTCCCCCCCCCCCCAGTTTTTTCAGGTTGGGATCCCTGCAGATGCATCCAAACACATATGCATATACACGCACGTAAATGCGGGTCATTTAATGCATCTAGAAGCATAAACACAGCATCTTGCCTGACAGATTTGTATCTGCATATAGAGCACAGAAACGCAAGTTGCAAGTGTGAATGGAGCCTTATGGTGAATGTCAATCGCCAGTGAGTTTGTCAGTGAATGCATCTCAGTGAAAGTGACTGGATTTCCCAGAGTTTTATAAACGTGTCCCTATCAATAGACTGAATGATACGTACACACTTCACTTTTGTGGCATTCTTTCAGTTATATATCATTCTTCTAAATATATATGTTGTCAATAAATAATAATTAAAAGCAATGTCCAGAACAGTTCTGTGCCTGTGCCAGTCATAAGCTGCCTTTATTCTTCCAGAGAGAGACTACATTTAGCTGTTCTCTATGTGCCTGATGATCTCTGCACAGGCATTGCCGCGGCCACCTAACAGCCCGGGGTCCTGATGCTCTGAGACACGTGTGTAGGCACTTCCTGGTTAGCAGAAGCTGAGCCGCGCAGCTTTGAAGAGAACCTGTTCTCACGATGAGGGTGGTAGCTTTAATCAGGTGATGGATTAGAATGCACAGTGACATTAGGAGTGAAATAAGACGAGCTGTCAGTGCTGTGTGAGCTCAGTGTCCAGTTACTGCAGAGCTTGTGCTGACACTTGCAGCTCATCACTTCATATAGCCTGCTTTTGTTCATTATATTTCTATTCCGAAATTCATTTGCTGCACCTAGTGCAGAGATGCAACATCCTCCAAGTTATTTTCAACTGATGGATTTAAAGGCATAGTCTACCTTTTGAAAAAATAAAATAATAAATGCACCCACATTGATAAAAGAAAAAAAATATGCATTTATTCGTTTTTGTAATCAGACCTGCAGAGCATTGCAATCACGATCAGTACATTGCACAAGCTGCGTGCTATGCGGCTGTGCTGGCCAATTCACAAACAGAAGGTTGTAGGGAGAAGAACTCCATGATTCACGTGAGTGTGTTGGGGTGGGGGTGCAGTTTTAGAGTGGGGGTGACCACGGTGTTGATGATGTTGCAGTATTTTATTATCGCTTGGACCTAATACATATTGATATTTATTAATTTTGCAACTTCCATCAAGTATTTCCATTTATTAATTTTATTGCAGCTGTGATCAGTGGGTTGCAGGTGCATTGCACTGTTTACATTCTGGCCCCAGCTCAATACAATGGTATGGACCTACCTTTGTGGGGCTGAAGAGGGTAATCAATGTACTACAAGTACAGTGATGTCACTGTGCTTCTTTGAGATCTACAAGTCCCTTTGTCGAAGTGGCAGATGGGACTTGTAGGTTCCTGGTAATGGATGATGCAGCCAAGCGGGCTACATATACAGACGGAAGGCTGTAA